GTTATCGGCAAGTACGGACCAACCTAGCTATCGGTAAAATTCAATATCGGTCGACCTCTAGGAGATACATCTGAAGACATCAGTACAAGGCCATGTTCTACAGAGAGTGAAACTGCCTACCCTGTACCTGTCCTGTGGCATCTTAAGCTCATGCCACTTTGTGGTGAACCAAAGAGGGCCAATCAAAGTCAAATGTCACACACACACACACACACACACACACACACACACCACAACTTAACAAGAGGATACACTGTAAAAAAAAAAAAAATAGTCGAATTTACGGTGAATTACTGGCAGCTGTGGTTGCCAGAAGTTCACCGTAAAAAATAGTGTTAATGTAATAAACATAACGGTATACTATTTTGGTAACCATAAATTTCACAGTAAAAAATTGTTTATTACTATGAATAAAAAAATTACCATAAACCTGTTTATGGTAATTCATGTGAAAACTACAGACATCCTGTTAACTTGATTACAGTCTCCCACTGCGAAATACAGTGAAACACAATACGGTATTTTATTGTAAAATTCAATATTACTGTAAATTACTGGCAGATGTGGTTGCCAGAATTTCACCGTGAAAAATATAGTGATAATGTAGAATACATAACAGTATACTTTGTTGAAATTCACAATGAAGCACTTTTTTTTTACGTAAACCTGTTTAAGATAATTCATGTCGAAATACATTTTTTTTCCCCATAAGCTTGATTAGTCTCCTAGTGATAAAACACACTACAGCTGCATAATACAATAGGTTTTTTTTTTATTTAAAAGTTCAAATTTACAGTAAATTCCTGGCAGCTGTGGTTGCCAGAATTTCACTTCAAAAAATTAGGCCTAACAAACGAGGTAATAAACGTAACAGGGTTGATTGGCATAAAATTAACAATCACTAACTATGTTTGGTTATAATTTGCCATAAGAATCAATAAAAAAACAATAAAAACAATGATAAAATGTCAACTTTTACATTTTGTAATGGAATTAATGATTAAAATAGGCACATCACTTAATAATATTAAACTTACACAATAACCTGTTAATTTTAAGCTTGAAGCTTACAAAACAGAACAAATACGAAAAAGTACATAATAAACATAGTCCAATAGACTTTAAAACACTTGATACTTGCAGTGGTTGATCTAGTGTAAAGAGTCTTTATCCAGAATTGACAGTGGAGAGCATTCAGTATGGAAAACAGTCTCAGATAGTGTCCGAGAAACTGGAACAGGTTTTGGATCCAATGTGCTTAAGGACTTGCAAGTTGTTCTTCAGATGCTCGGTGTAGATTAGCATTCGTTTCCTTGCACCTGAAAGCAGATACAAAGCACAGTTAAGCAAACTGGCCATTTCAAACCCAAATAGACATATACCTTTGATCAAGCAAATATACAGACTCACATTTAACACCACCAAATGTGAAAAATTCATTTGGTCCAATGTTCAAATCCCACACCCAACTCAAAAAAGGCAATGCTATGTGCATAAACTGTATAAATCAGTGTTCAAACAATCCAATAAGAAGTAAGCACAATGTAAAAACAAAACAAAAAAAACTTACTAGCTACATTTACTAGAATTTGGAAACAAATCATCAGGGATATACAAAGAATGCCAAAAAAGTTGGATAGTATAAACCATTTAAATTTTTGATATGCAGTATAAGAATATGTGTAATGACTTTACTTTGGATTACAAGTTTGTTTATTTGAAAGTGATGTATTGTTAGATAATTATTTTGTTCAAATGACATCTTCTTTGGTTTTGATTTATGCAAGCTAGAACAAGTGTGCACCACAGTGGGCCTATGTTTTTTTACCAGAGCAGAAGTAGTAGCAGAAGTCAGTAGAAATTATTTGTTGCTTGCAGCCGTGATTAATAAACCAAGCACCAATCTATTATCATATTTGGACAATGGACTTCTTTTGCCATTGATAAGAAAGATGGAAAAAAGAGAAGAGATGGTTATTGTAATTGTGTTTTTGTTAAATATGCAAACATTTTTAACAATTTAAGAAGCACAGGAGACTTTAAGTATAAAAACTTTTTTAAAGCAGAAGATAATAATCTGCATGTAAAAGTGATTATTAGTTAACTTTTTAAGGTGTGAGTTTGTAAAGTTGTTTTACTATGTGCTCAGATTGCTCGATATGTGCATGTGAATAACCATATTCACGTACAATTATCCAAACTTGTGCACAAATTGTCATACACATTGTAAATCATATAATACACATTTTAACCAATATAAGTCTAACTTCTCTCCACATTATAATCCCCTATTATCCCTGAGCTGTGGGAGAAATCTGGAACACCAGAGCAAAACCAAAAAGAGTAGAGTAGTGAAAGCATGCAAACTCCACACAGAAAAGCACCAGCCAAGGACTAAATGAGGAACTTTATGTCATGGACCAGGGCAGACTTCGAGCGTGGGCGAGAGCGTGTCATGGTGCAGGCAGAAGGAGTGGACGACCCACTGGCAGCTCACCGGAACAGAAGGGGTTTATTAGACAAACAGAAAACACTATAAACAAAAAGGACCACGAGGGGTCAAAAGTAAATGGCACTAAACAAAGACTAATTACAAAAATGGGCAGGGCAACAAAGGGTAGGCAGGCTGGTTACAAAAAACAGAATATCCCATATCAGTACATCTAACAGCAAACTACAACAAAACCCAATACACAATGAACCACCGAAGGACAGAACTGAGGCAGGGACTTAAATGCTAAAACTAAAACCGGGTAACGAGACAGCAGGAGTGAGACAGACAATGAGCAATCAGGTAAAGACACAAGGGCAGGCACAAGAACAGGCAACAGCTGACACTAATAAACACAGGGAAATCAAACTAACAAAGAAACTAATATTAATCAAGGAAATAGGGAAAACAGAACCTAACACTACGAAACACAAACAGGAGCCCAAGGAACGAAATCAAAACCAAATACAAAACACCAGACACAGGAACCAGAAAACTCAAAGAAACACTGGGGAACAAAATACAAAATAACATGCAACAAAGAAATATGCAGGTAGCCACATGGCCATGCGGCAGAACAGGGAACAGGGGACGCACAAAGACTGACAAAAGGGACACACGTGGGTGCTGTTGGAAACTTTTTCCTTTGTCGAAGCAGAGACCAGGAGACATTGGGATATCTTTCCGGCCGAAGTTCCTCTTTATTGAGAACTCGTCATGCGTCGCTGTAGTCATCCAAGTCTGACTAAAACTCAGCTCGGCAGAGTTTATACGTTTCAAGGGGGGAGGGATACACAGAGGTGGAGACAAACTAAACAAAGCATAGTATATTCCAGCAATCAGCCTGGAAGTTCCCCAGCCCTGATTTCATCAGCATAACAGTGCCTTTCAAATGCCTCTCCAGGTGCTAATCTAATTAGCCTGATAGTATCACCCAGACCTTCACATTATCATAGCGACAAAGGCACAGCCTGGCCTTGAGATTAGCATTCACCTTTACTTTGGGCCCCTACCCAGTGATCAGGAAGTTCATAAAGATGAAATGTTAATGTCTCAGACACCTGGGCCCCCAGACTTGATCTTATTAGAATGTCACCATCTTTACCTCCAACTGCAAATCCAATGTGCCTATCTCTTTCATTTCATATACTGTTATGTTGGAAGCTAGATTGAACAATTTATAAATTTGTAATCCTACAGTGCTGACCCTGACACTTTATCGGTGTGAGGTCATAATACTAAGTTAAAATTTAACGGCAAAATCAGATGCTAAGACAAACTACTAGGCCACCAAGAATACTCACCTTATAGAGTATTCAAAAATGCCACGGTGTGATCCTTGTAAAGGCCTATATCTGCAAGGCCACCCCCAGTCATTTCAGCTTTTCTGTCTAATAAAGTACAAATCAAATTCAAGTATTCATCTAAAATTCAAGAGCTATAAAATCTTTGTCTAAACAAAAAGATATATTCTATTATTGGCATTGCAATTGCTTTGAAGCTCACCATTTTTCTGGTTGTAGCAAGCCCACCAAGTCCATTCTCCTTCTTGACAGTCATGCCTAAAAGATGTAGGGAGTGAAAAAAACCAAATTATTACTTGTCTTCAAAACATTTTTGCATGAACAAAAGCATTATCTACAAACTATTAGACTGTAAACATTAGTAGAGAATTTTGTTTATGTTACTCACCTTCAAAAGAAGATCCTTCTATCTTAGGAATAATACTAGCTTTAAATGAACTCTGAAGGATCAGGCTCAAACACTCTTGCAATGATTCTTTATTTTAACATGTTAGCTGTGATGTTTAATAACTCAGCTACTTTTTGCCATACAATTATTATAGATCAATTCAAATGAAAGAGTGACCAAAAGAACCAAATAAATTAAAATGTGGTCATTGCCAAAATTGTCAACTTGACTTATGCCAAGAATCATTTTAATGAAAAATAAAAAAAAAAATCTGAATTCAAGTTTTTTTTTCCTTTACAAATTAAAAATAAATATGTAAAGCAAAAAATATCCTGTTTTCTGGAAGAAACAACAAACTTGAATTGCTGATAAAATCTATACTTCTATATAGTTTCACATTTTTAGACTATTACAATGAATCTTTTCTCAATGTTTTTTGGACATAACTTATAGCAGCGTCAAACACAAATAACAGAAAATTACAAAAACGTTTCTGTTGACCTTGCCAGTAACTATTATACAGTCCACAAAAATTAGAAACACAGACCAATTTCAAGTTTAGTAAACCCAACCTATAAGAATTGTTGCCATTGCCTCAAAATCTAGCAATTTTCCTAATAATCAGTATGTTATTTGTCCTTTAAACATTAGTGTAAAAAATGCCCAAAACTTATAACAGTTGAAACCAATTCTGAAGACAGTTGAAATCCAGCTCTGAACAAAATTAAATGACTGTTCTTATAAAAACACACCTACTTTCAATGTCAGTGGGTACGTGTGTGCATGTATGTGTGTACCTGCGAGTGCATGTATGTGTGTGTGTGTGTGTGTGTGTGTGCGCGTGTGTGTGCCTGCAAGTGCATGTATGTGTGTGTGTGTGCCTGCGAGTGCGTGTATGCTATGTTAGAGTAAACATAGCTGAGATTTAACAGCAATGCGATAAGTCCATCTTTAAAATGTCTCTCGCCACTCGTGATCCGAGAGATCTGCAATAAGGGTGAGGACTCTGGGATTCACAGAGAGTTGCTTCTTGTTGTTCTTTTTTTCCACCTTTGTGCCCTTTTCTGGATTGATGTTGAAGAAGCACCTGTATGAACACAAATTCAACAATCAATCACTAAATCATAAACAATGTGCTGCTCGTAAGTATGATTTAATTTTTTTTTACTTTTTCACCTCTGAAGAAATTCGAGTGTTGAGCAAAGATCCACAGGATAGTGAATATTGAGGCAGTAGTAACTTGCAAACAATAAACAGATGGCAGAAATGAAGGTGGGAATATTGTCATTTACAACTTTATGGTCTACAGCAAGCATGAATCGGCTTGAAGAATAGCAAGAAGATCCTGCAAAGAAAATAAATGTCATTAACACTTACAGCAACATCAATCATTCTTACAAAAATGTTCATAAACATTTTTTGTGTTTTTTCTCCATTAAAGTGATATAAAACTGTAAATCACTGAAACAAATCCAAATATCTTTACTTGACAAGCTACCCTCAGATAACTGAATATCAACTTACCACACACAATGATACATGGAGTTACTGGCAGGGTTTCCCCTTGAACCTCATGTCCCAGACATGTTTCTTCAACATGATGGAATAGATTCTCCTCCTTTTCATCAAAATAGGACAGCAGAAGGAGGACCATATCCTTCATATCCTCTGAGCAGCCTTCCAACTGTCCTCTGAGTATTTTTAGTTTTGTGACAGCCTGCAAAACTCTTTTGCTCTTATCAGCACAAGTGTTTCGCATAAAGTCCAGCAGCCGTTTTCCCTTTTTCTCCAGACTGTTAAGGAAGGTCTCTTTCAGTGACACCCCAGTGAGCTTGTGGAAGTGAACTGCCATTCCGACCTCCTGGAACAAGAAAGGCCATTCCTCCAACAGGAATTACATGTCTTCTCCTTTGTTTATATCCTTTCGCTGAGAATAGTAAGTTTGCTTCATTAGATTTTCTACCTCATCTAGGCTGACATTGGTCTCTTGAAGCTTCTTCAATTTTTCTTTTTTCACCTTTTGACTTTCTGCTGTCTCAGTCACTGGCATGAATTTCATGTCCCACTTAACGCAACCATATGTGTCCTGAACAGCAACTCTTTTTTCAGCTGGGACTTCATCTGTTTCATATTCATCTGAACACTGCTTGCGCTTCTTTATTGTAGGTGTTGAAGACCGCTTAACATTTTCTATTCTTGCTTGTAACTGCTTGACCAGTGAATGATATCCTGATCACACCACATCACCTTCTATAACATCTTGCAGTGATTGTGGATACTTGGCAATCAGTTTTTTGGCTACTTCAGTTGAAGCTTGTTTACTGGGAGATGCACTTGCACGCATCATTTCAGATGCAACAATACGGATCATTTCTCTTCTTAACTTTGGTGCTGGCCTCTTCCCCCTCTCCAAACACTGCATCAAAGCTTCTGGAAAGTGATTCCATGGAATCTGGAAACTGTCAACCCAATCTGAAACAGTATGCAGTCGGCTGGGCAAAGGTGAGAGAGAGATCGAGGAGCTTGCTGATGAGGCAGGAGAGGATAATGGTGACTGGATGTGAATTTCAGTACTTTGTGCTGTAAAACAAACCAAAAAATAATTAATGAGCAAAATGTATTATTGTAAGATAAACAATAAATGTAATTGAAATCTACTTACAGTTTTTTTTCCATGCAGCCACCAATTTTCTTGCTTGTATCGGTCTAAGAACTGACAGCAAATCAGTCTCCTGGATATAGTCAAAATCTTCAGTGGTTTCTACACCCATTGACTGTAGTGTCTCCACAACAATATCAAGAACTGAAGGTGCAAGGTCTGGCAACACCTTTGTGATGGCATCACTTATGCTGCTTTGGTCCATATCACCCATTTCTGTATATAAGAAAGTAAATAAAGCATAACAAATACCCAAATAACAGACTACAGAAACAATCATTAGTCTGACAACACACTATGTTTCAACGGAATCATTTGGCATCCGTCCTTTATGTATGATGTCAATGGATAGAAATCAGTCAAGGCATCTATGTTCAGACATAACATCTTTTCAATGTCTTTTCTAACGGAGTACAGATGGTACTTAGGAAGGAACTCTGTTATGTACACTGATACTAGTAAATGAGCAGTGTCATCTTTTATAAAAATGAGCACTAGCTCACCAAACTCCAATGAGTCAGTGTTGCCTATGATAAGGAAATTACCTTTCTTGTACGGTGTTCCCTTACACACCATTTCTACTGTGACCTTTGTGTTGTTCTCTGTAAATCCAAATGGTCTAACAGCATCTTGAATGGCTTTACTATATAGTGCTGGGTAAAATGGAGTACCACCTTTAACTTGCAAGGCAGTCTGACATATTGATCCTGCTGAAAGATACGCTTGCAACATCTGATGCCTTTCAGAAAGTGTAAGGCAGACGTTTTTGAAATTCTTCAAATTTCTTGCACATCTTTTGAAATAGCTGTGCTTGCTTTCAAATCGCATTGTCCATAGTCTAATTAATGGCCCAAATTTCAGAATCAGTGCTGGATAATGCCGCAAGTAATGATGCTTTGGTTTCAAGGTACTTTCTGGGAATAGAGTTTTTCTTGACTCTAAATACTCTTGAATAAGGATATCAAGATATGCAACCCTGAGGCACAGAAATTTTCTGAGCACAAATCAGGTCCACAATATCTTTCAGTTGAAGGATCAACTGCCACACATCATCTGTTTCATCTTCCACTCTGTCACCAATAATGAGAGGCAACAGCCTTAAAAAGTTCCAGTTTTGTATAGCCTGTCCAGAGAGTTTAGCTATTTGAGGACTGACCTCACATGGCTTTGAAGAGACATCAGAGGCAGAGTACAGTATTTAATCTGTTTAATGTGCCGATTCAGAATGGAGTAGGTGAACCATCCTTTTTTCTTCACAAAATATTTAAGATACAGCGCAACATCATATGACAAAATGCCCTCAAAAATGTCGTGTCCTAAACAAGGCGGCAAACCTGGCTGACAGACGTGAAAATGTTTTAAACAGTTGAAAACTGACTTAAACTTTACTCCTTCCACATCTGGTGTACCTTCAGTCTTGAGGCGTTCAACAGCAGAATTGTACTTCTCAATGGTGCGTTGTGGTCCACACAGATTTGGATCACCACCATGAAAATCTGATCGTGTTATTAAGCAGTACCTACAGAAATATTGTGTGCGACTAAAGCTTTCACAGAAGCCACCAATGCAATGTGAGCCCAAATTATCTCCAGCAATGCAAAACAAGGTTCCTTTGACAACAGTTTTATCTGATGTCACTATGCCATTTTCCTCAAGTTCCTTCAAATCTGTTAGTAATTCAGAGAACACCTTTGCATGGCCAAACTCTTTGAAGTCTTTCTCTCTACACAATAACACAAGAGACATGTGGTCTGTGTCAGACCTAACATGAAGTGGCAAATTAGCAACAGACACATAAACAGCTAATACTTTATGTTTTGTCTTTGCAGAACCTAAAGGATTAACAACTTCAAAGGCATCTTGGTACAGCAGTAGTTTGAAACATGATGGACTTTGGTCAAAAAAAATATTTGTTTTGAATATCTGACCATCACTAATGTCACACAGTATATCTGATGAAGACTTTGCTGGTTGCTCTCCTGCCACACATTTCTGCCACAAATCAGAGTCTAACAAACATTTCAAAGTCTCTCTTAGAGGTACATAGTATGCAAACTGATCTGTTCTATTCTCACTTTGTCCTAAAAATATTTTCTTGGGCTCCACATAGTTGAACATTTGTTTGAAGGACTGCGCTCTGGAGTATGTTGTCCTCAATGGCCCTGTATGACATGCAGAAAACAGATCGGATCCCTTGACCGCCTCACAGAGCTTGGCAATATCCTTATCAGATAATGTTGTTTCAGTTTTTAGAAGTGAAGTGAGGTTATTCAAAGTATATGACAGACCCAACTCATGTATGTTTTGCATTTCCTCGACAATGGTCTGGATGGTAGAAGCAGGTAGCAAAAACCGTCCTTGCAATTTCAAGTAGAACAAACATACATTTCTGAGAAAAAGATCTCTAAAATCTTCTGAAAATTCCGAATCAACTTCTTTTGGGCCTGTCTCTGTGCCTGCCTCATAGACTTCATGTCCAAAATGACGTAATTCTGCTTCAACTGTGGGACACGACTGAGATGCACAATCCCTGTACAAATCACTGATGCCTCCGTCTGTAAAATCTTTATGTTTCCGTGACATGTGGGCGGTAAATGAAGATTTTACTTTGAAAACGCGTGTGCACCCTCTTAGTGGACAAGTCACCTCACGTCCTTCCACAATATGGTCCTTCAAGTGAGCTATTAGACCTTTCGTGTCGGTACACTGACGTTCACACAATGCCACTGCACATTTAAATGTGCTAATGGTCATCCCGGCCGTAACAGGAACGGGTGCAACATGCTTTCGATAAAAATGAGCCTTGAAAGCCCCATACCTACAAAATGTCTGCTTGCAATCAGTTCCGAAGCACTGAAATATACATCGCGGTTCATTTCGATGAAGTTTGCAATGAAGGACATAGCCCCTTAATGTCTTCACTGACTTGCAACAGAAATTGCAACGTAACATTTTCTTTAACCACTCCGAGTAAATTAAACTGGCGTATGTTCGACAGTAAAGCTAGCTAGAATCTTCAACGTGGTGCATTAGCACGAGCTTTCCAGAGAAACTACAAAATAGGACTAAACTGGCGGCGACCAAAATCTCGGCAGAGGAACACATGTCGCCGCAACAAGAAAACTGGCATAGCAAACTAATGTTAAAGTTGATATAGTTAAATTTATTCAAAGTATAATGGTATACTGACCTTGAAATAGAAGTTTCGCGTCTTCTGTGCAGGTTAGTGCTCCCCGCTTTGCTGAATCCAGTTATGGTCGGTCAGAACTGGCGCCTTTTTTTTTCTTTTTCAAAATAGCGGTGTCGGTTAAGTCACGTGACACAGTGTATCGAAAACGTACGCGTAATGTAGACTTTTTAAAGAAAGTGAGTGTTAGACCTTTTATAATACATTATTTGACTGTTCTTGATGTCACAAACTACATTCATTATTTTTATTTTATTTGATTTTTTATAATCAATCTTTATTTCAGCAGGTGGTATAGCACTCACAATTCGACACTTACATACTTTTTATTAACTTACCCTTTCCAAATAAAATAATTTTTATTTTATTATTTTATTTACAGTTAAGCCCATCACTGAATCACTGCACCCTTAGCAAAGTAATGCACTATAGAGCATTATTATGTTTTAAAACGATCATATTCAAATCTCATTTCAAAAATGATATTGTATGTCTGTTTACCAGGAGACCAAAAGGGGCTTATTAAAAGAAACACAAAGATTTAGGTCACATCTGAATTACTCTAGATATGTTTTAAAACAAATACTTTATTTCTCCATTTCTTAAAACCTTTTATGTGGAACATATTCACACCTCCTGTAATGCACAATATGGGTAAAAAATGACTCACATTTTATTTTATTTCGTGCTGGCTGAGGGTTTCTTTGCTTTATCTTTTGACATCAATTTATTTTGTGATTGAATATTATTAAAATTCTAAGTACAGTATTCTTGAAATATCTTGTTTTTGATCATCACAGATCATAATTCCTTTTTCTTTTCATACTTAAAAAACCTGTTTGATTATTACATCAAGTTTACACACATGGGTCAACAATGACCCATTCCCCCAAGTGTGATTTTAAATTAAATGACTTCAATATAAATCATTTGTTTAAAATAATTCATTTGGCAGTGAGTGTGACCAAACACTCATACATTTAATATTTGCAACATGTTTGTCACACACATACACCTCTGATTACAGATGACACAATGCTATTGAATTGTACTGTACAGTATCTCTGATGTAATTACTCTAAAGAGGCAGTTGCTGCAGACTGGACAGCGGCAAATCCATGATGTTAATCTCCTGTTCCCCACCACATCCCAAAGGTGCCATATTGGATTGGGATCTGGTGACTGTGGAGGCTCAGTGAACTCATTGTGATGTTCAAGAAACCAGTTTGAGATGATCTGAGTTTTGTGACATGGTGCATTATCCTGCTGGAAGTAGTCATTAGAAGCTGGGTACACTGTGGTCATAAAGGGATGGACATGGTCAGCAACAAACTAGGGTAGGGTATAGCGTTTAAACAATGCTCAGTTGGTACTAAGGGGCCCAAAGTGTGCCAATAAAATATCCCCCAGCACACTATGACACCACCACCACTAGCCAGGATCGTTGATACAAGGCAGGATGGATCCATGCTTTCATGTTGTTTACACCAAATTCTGATCCAACCATCTAAATGTTGCAGCTAAAATCTAGACTCATCGGACCAGGCAAGGGGGTTCCAGTCCGTTACTGTCCAGTTTTGGTGAGCCCGTGCCCACTCTAGCCTCAGTTTCCTGTTCTTAGCTGACAGGAGTGGCACCCAGTGTGGTCTGGTATAGTACAAGGTTTCACATGTGCACCTTTGTTGAAACAAGGGGTTATTTCAGCTATACTGTTACAAAGATAAAGAAGATAAAAACTCACTCGAGTCACTTTTGAACAATAAGAAAAACAATTGTTTTAAAACAATAACTCATTTTGATACTTTTTATAATTTTCTCTGTTATTAACCTTTTTAGCAAAGTTTAATGGTGACAAGATCAGGATAAAGAAAGATAACATGTTTTATCTGTAAAATTTTCATCATACATCTTGGATCTGTGAAAATAAAGATGTTTTGGTTAATACAGTTCTACACTATATAAATTTAAATGTACATCACTGTAAAAGTACACAGACTAAATATGTAATTTTAGGGTAATTAGTTGTTTATTATAAAATGGCCTTTCACCATCAATTGTGCCAGAAAATATTTTTTCATAGCAAATATTTGTGTTTTATTCATGGTGACACTGTAAAAAATAAAGCAATATACATTTTTTCTTCATTTTAGGTAATTCACTGTATTTACTACTGAGATATACTGTTTTATTAAACAGTCTGATCCTGTTAGTATTTTATTTTTGCTGTACTTTTTACTAATTTTTTTCCATTGTTTTAACAATTTCTTACTGTAAAAACTAAGGTATGTTTTGGGTGATTGATGTACGGTTCTGAATTGTAAATTCAGATATTAAAAGCATCAAAATCTGTAATTTATACAGAATTATTATGCTAATTGTAAGGTGATGACTTGCTATTAATGTTATGGATTTTTTCTGTTTTTTTAAGTTAATTTGAAATATTTAAGGTAAATTAATGTATTTTCAACATATTAACATTCTAAAAATAAAAGCAATATACCATTTATTGAATTACAGTAATTTAACATATGTATTACAATCATTTACCCTTTTTTGATTTAATGGTCATTTACCGTTGCCATTTCATAGTCATTTACCGTAATTTTTACGTACATTTTTAACAGTGTAGTTACATTCTTATTTTACTCAAGTTTTTTTTTATGCTTGTTTTTATTATTTATATGGTTTTATTATGTTCTTGTTTGAATGTGGGCCATTGAGAACGTCTGGATGTAGAACTAAAACATGTTGAATGTTTCAGGATATTTAAGATATTTTCAGATATTTCATAGGTTCAGCTCAGACAAATTGTTATGTTGTTAAATATGTTTAATTTGCACCTTGGTACCTGA